CGACGACGAAGACGACGACGACGCCAAAGAAGGCGACGACGAGGGAGGAGGAAGGACGACGACGGCGACAACGACGACGACGACAACGACGAGGGAGGAGGGAGGACGGCGACGACGTGAACGACGACGAAGGAGGAAGGACGGCGACGCCGACGACGACAACGACGAGGGAGGAAGGAAGACGACGACGACAACGACGACGACGACGGCGACGAAATAGGAGGGACGACGACGAGACGCCGACGACGGACGACGACGACGACGTGGGAGGAGGAGGACGAACGACCACGGCGACAACGACGACGGAAACGACCACGACGCCAAAGGGGACGACGACGACGAACACGAGAAAAAACAGAGGACGACGTAGGCGACGACGACGACGACGCGGGAGGAGGGAGGACGGCGACGACGACGACGACGACGACGACGTCGACGACGCAAGAGCGCGCGCGCACGCTTTTGTTGAAAATCCGTGTTGCGAAACCATGGGTTTTTGTATGTTTTTTGGACGCACGATTTTGAAATCCTTCGGAAACCGATGGGTTTTGAAGGTTTTTGACATACGCCCGCGACGACGCGCGCGTCTGCACTTCGTCCCATTTGTTGCAGAGGATTCTCGCGACGGCACACGCGCAAAGGCGTTGGACAGATTTCGACATGCGCGCGCGAAGCCCGTTTGGTAGCATTTTGTGAAAATCTTGAAAAACTTGTTGCTTGGTTTCCTTAAGATTTCGCAAGAGCTCGCGCGGAAGCTTTTTTAGCAAATCAATGTTGCGAAACCATTTGTTTTTGTATGTGTTCTGGAAACTCGATTGCGAAATCCTTCCAGCACCGAAGGTTTTTGAAGGATGTCGGCATGCGCGCGCGACGACGCGCGCGTGCGCACTTCGTCCTATTTTTTGCAAGGGTTTCGTGAATAAGTGCTATGTTAGAACAAACAATGTCACCGAATAGTGTTTAAAAAAAAAGGGAACCTCAGGGGGGGGAATCCGGCCTAGCTGGGATGATACGATTTCATATTTAGGATGGACGAGTGTGCAGAAACTATATGAAGTCATATTATCCCAGGGGGAACCGGTAAGTCCGGGGGGGGGTCGAGTTTATTCTCTTGTTAGAAAGGAGAATGCACTTCGACCGTCTTGAAGCTGTCCTTTCCACTGCTCGTGCAAACATCCCACCCTCCCACCCGCAACTCGGCCCCAAAACCTCTTAACACAAGACCGTGACGGTAGGTACCAGATGGCAGTTGGCCACGACACCGACGCCGACGACGACAGCGACAACGACGACGACGGCGCCGCCGACACCGACGACGACGACACCGACGACGTCTCCAACGACTCCGACGACGACAGCAGCGACCACGACGACGACGACACCGACGACGACGACGACGCCGACGACGACGACGACAACGACGACGACGCCGACGACGACGACGCCGACGACGACGACGACGACGAAGACAACGTCGACGACGACGACAACGACGCCGCCAACGAAGACGACGACGAGGGAGGAGGGAGGACGACGACGGCGACAACGACGACAACGACGAGGGTCGAGGGAGGACGGCGACGATGCGAACGACGAAGAAGGAGGAAGGACGGCGACGCCGACGATGACAACGACGAGGGAGGAAGGAAGACGCCGACGACGCAAGAGCGCGCGCGCACGGTTTTGTTGAAAATACGTGCTGCGAATCCTTTGGTTTTTGTATGTTTTTTGGACACACGATTTGGACATCTTTCCGAAACAAATGGGTTTTGAAGGATTTCGGCATACGCGCGCGACGACGCGCGCGTGCGCACTTCGTCCCATTTGTTGCAGAGGGTTTCGTGAAAAAGTGCTATGTTAGAACAAACAATGTCACCGAATAGTGTTTTTTTTTAAAACAAAAGGAACTTCAGGGGGGGATACCGCCCCCCCTGGGATAGTGTAAATTCATAGTTCGGATGGACATGCGGTCAGAATCATATATGATTTACCAACCCGAAAAGGGGAGTGATAACGCCGGGGGGGGCGGAGTCCATTCTTTTTGGGGAAAGGGGAATGTACGCGTTGCAATTTATGTCATGCAGTCTATGTGGTGCGATGTATGCGATGAGCGTGTGTGATGCAGTCAGTCACGGTGCCAATTATGTGCTCCACTGCCAGCGGTACAACCCATGTAGCGCAATCGGTGCGGCGAAACGTATGTGGTGCAATGCGTGCGATGCAACCTACGTAATGCAAAACATGCGGTGCAATATATGTGGTGCAATGTATGCGATGCAACGTATGTCGTTCAATGTATGTGTGGTGCCGTGTATGAGGTGCAAGTTGTGTAACGCAGCCATTGCGGCGCAATCCATGTGGTGCAGTGTATCCGTCGCAATTTATGTAATGCAATTTACGCGTTGCAAATTATGTGGTGCGATGTATTCGATGCAACCTACGTAACGCATTGTGCGGTGCATTGTATGCGATGCGGCGACGGCGACGGGCGGCGACGGGCGGCACGGGCGGCGACGTGCGGGGATGGCGGCGACGGGCGGCGACGGCGACGGGCGGCGACGGGCGACGACGGCGACGGACGGCGACGGGCGCAAACTCCGAGGTCCGAGTGGCGAAACCCTAACCTCCGCAGGTTCGTGTTCCAAGCACCGAGGCGCGAAACCCGAAACTCTGGAGGTTACGGTTCCAAGCTCCGAGGTGCGAAACCCGAACTTCCAAAGGTTAGGGCTCAAAGCTCCGCGGCGCGATACCCAAACCTCCGGAGGTTCGGGTTCCAACCTCCGGAGTCCAGGATCTACGATGCCCGGGGTGCCCAGGCCCGCTCTTGGGGTCGTCAGATTAGTCCCCGGAGCGATCAGACGCGACTGAAGACAGCCCCGAATCGACCCCGATATGGTATGGAGGGCTCTCTGACGGCTCACGAGTTAGCTGAAGCGGTCCAGGAGGTCTCCACAACGCCACAAAGACGTTCCAACAGGAGGACCCCGTGGGGCAACAATTGTCGCGCTGTCCTGGCAAAGCGTGTACTGTTGGCACCGTCGATGTGTGTTTTCCGTGGGGTGCCTCGGGTTTTTTCCATGGGCCTCGCCTCGTCGAAGGCGTTCCGACGGCGCTCAAATCCTCCCGAATGGTCTCCTGAGGCTGGCTACTGCCCGACAGCCAATTCGGATAATGAGGAGGTTGAGGAGGTTGGGGAGGTTAAGGAGGAGGAGGAGGAGGAGGTTAAGGAGGAGGAGGTTGAGGAGGATGAGGAGCAGGAGGAGGAGGAGGACAGTACGGGAGATCGAGGAAGCGGGGAATGGGAGAGGGGAAGACTCACAGTCCACGTAGTCCCCGCTTTGTCTAGGCCTCCGTCTGGGGTATAGCCTCGGCGACATGAGAGAGGGGGATCTGTGGTTGTCTTCGATACGTTCGCGGAAACATTTAGTTGCCGCGCTTGTTTCGTCCCCGCGTCAACAGCGATGCTGCGTGATTGCGTACATCGTATTAGGATTGAGAGTGTCTCGGCTCGCACATGAATGATCTTTTGTGCATATTCTTATGTGCCTTGTGCTTAATTGTTCTTACCTGTGTGGCGCGCACCCCTTGGACCGTCCAGGTTTCTCCCACGATGGCCCCAGAGGGCCACTGGATGGCCCCGAGCACGAATTGCTCTAGTTACCCAGAGCGCCTTTATTGGGGGGACCCAGGGGGACAACCACGTGCTCAATGCACGTGTTTATCGAATGGCATTCGGTCCACGCCATTGTGCCTGGGTTGTGGGTCTGAAGTTTATTGGAAATTTGCTGGGATCTCGTGGGAGGACTCTCAGGTGCCTCTTGGAGGCAGTTTTGAGGCCTCTGTTGGGCCTCTTGGAGTCTCTTTTGGGCCTCTTGGGGGCCTCTTGGGGTCTCTTGGGCGCCTCTTGGGCCCGGCTCTGATTTTCGGTGTTCCCTCTCTTGGGCCCCTTGTGGGGCCGTCTTGGGGCCCTCTTGGGCCGTCTTGGGCGCCTTTGACCGTCTCGGCGCTCGTAGGCCGTCTTGGGGCTCTCTTGGAGACCTCCCGGGCCGTCTTGGGGTGGTCTTGGGGGCCTCGTGGGCCGTCTTGGAGCGTCGGGAAACAGAAACGGCCAGAACGCCAAAATCCTTCGAAACTTAAGGGAAATCAATGATTCTTGCTTCTTGGGGCTCTTTGGTGAGGCCTCTTGGGGCGTCTTGGCGGCCTCTTGGGCCGTCCTGGGGCCATCTTGGGCGTCTCAGAGCGATCTTGAACTGTTTTGGAGGCATCTTGGGCGGCCTGGGTGGGCTTCCTGGGCCGTCGTGGAAGCCTTGGAGAGCCCCAGGGTCGCGCCATGGCCGCCCAGGGACCCCGCGGGAGTAAACAGGGGTGGTGCAACTGATGGTGTGCTGGCCGGAGGGCGGGGGGCCCCTCAGAAGATTACAGAAACGGTGGCGGATCTATATGCCTTGGAGGGCTCTTACGTGCCTCTTGGGGGCCTTTGGCTTCGCCAGAAGCGGTGTTGGCGCCGAGCCGATTGTGTGAGGATATCCCGAGCGAAAGTGCTGCTTTGGTAATCTTTCTGACGGAGCCGCTGGATTGGCCGGAAGCAGTGTCAACATGCATCGTTCGGCCGTCCCCCCAGGGTCGGATTTGTGTGACGGTGTGCCGGTTTGGGAATTCTCCGGCGGACATGCCGGATTCGCGGGAAAAGGTGCAGGAGACGTTGTTGGTGGCCTCATGTTTTCGGGCGCCAGGGATCAGGATGGTGTGAGTTCTGCATGAACTCCTTCATATGAGGAAGAGTGAAAGGATAGTATGAAGCCTCACCACTGCGTTGCGGATGTCTGGACCCCTCCCCGTATAAACCGAGGCGCCGCAGGTATCAAGCACAACATTGCTTCTAGAGAGGCCAGACGTTATCCAGATTCAGATGCCCCAGAATCCAAGACGACGTGGACGTGGACACACACACACACACATATATATGTATATATATGTATGGATTATTTCCCCCTGTGCAGGATGGGGACACGGTGGTCTTTGTCAACAACACGTTCCTCGGCAGGATCACGGAGGAGATCCAGGCGCGCGGCTCTCCTGCCTCGCCGGTGCAAGGGGGGGCAGAGGGGGACGCCGCGCACGCGTGCGGCCGCGGCTGCCCGTGCAGTCCTCGCTCCCGGGCGCCCGCGGGTGGCGGCGACGCAGCATATGTCTCATTGTGCGTGCGTGTGTGTGTGTGTGTGTGTTTGTGTGTGTGTTCGCGTGTGTGTGTTCGCGTGTGAGTGTGTTCGCGTGCGTGTTCGTGTGTGTGTGTGTGTGTGTGTTTACGTGTGCGTGGAGGCATGGGGAGCCCTCCTCCGCCCCGCGCCGACGCTGCAGCGTTCCCGTGGCGGGCCCCTCCCCCCCTCCAGGATCTCGGCCACCCTTCTTGGAGGCCGGCATCTTATCCTTGCCTTCTGACGGCCCCCGGGCAGGAAGTGCCTTTGGGTTCTTCCGATTCTATCCGAGTTCGATGGCTTCCGATTCCGATTCGAGTCGACCTCGGATTGCGTTCTGAATTCAGATGTTCAAGCTGAGACCTATCCCCCTGTAAATGTCCTCCGATTCGACTTCTCCCGACTCTGCTGCCGATGTTCGCCGATCCGATTAAACCCGATCGCCTATCTGACTCATCGATTCGATTCTGGGCCCTCCTGGGCAGGTTGCTCTTTCGTTCTTGTCCGAGCACCTGGTGTCTCCTTCACAGCAGCACGCCGACTGGTTCCCCATTTGCAGCGTACCACGGATGTTGCTTTGGCTTCCCTGAGCATAAGCGCTCGGCAAGCTGCGCACCCCAGACCCCCGACGTCGTGTTTCATGTTTTCTCTCGCAACGTGAACCATTCCACGGGACCAGGAGGAGGAGGCGGAGGAGGAGGAGGAGGCGGAGGAGGAGGACGGCTCTTCGTCCTGGGTGGCTTCCCGACGGCCTCTGGGGCCTGGCCAGGGCCTCCAGACAGGCCGAAGACAGCAAAGGATCTCCTGCTGGGGGGTCTGGAGCCAGAGCTCACTCTTCACCAGGGCCCTCTCTCTCTCAGGGTGGGAAGCACGCAGAGACACACAAAGGATCGTCGATTTCCGAGAAAATCTGGGACGGACGGGAAGTAGAGGGGGCAGACTACAAACCAGAAGGTATGGACAAATACAGTCGGACGGAGGTAGAAGATCGAGGTCGGTTCGGGGAGGGTACCCTAGTGTTCTTGGTGTTTGTTGGATGTTCTTGTGCATCCTGGGGAGGGTACCCTTGGATGGTCTGTGTGTTTTGGCTGGCGGGGGGCCTCCTGTTCTTGAAGGATGTTACCCTGGCTTCATCAGATCCGACTGTATGGGGAACCCTGGGATTTGAAACCGGTGTGTTCTCCGTGTGGTCGCCACCTCTCCGTTTGCCACCGCCTCAGTCTCTGGGAATTGCTGATCCACCAACGACCTGCGGAGTTCAAGCTTGCGGCACTGCTGACCCAAGGCTCGCGGCACACTCGCGAATGCTTGCCCAAAGTCGCCAGACGTCACTGCGAGGAATTATTGAAGGGATTTGTATCCACTTCTTCGTGTGCTCCTGGGCGTCTCTACTCTTGCGTGGCCGGCCTGCGCGCCGCCCGTCGCCGCCCCGTCCCCGCCGCGACTGGGGGCCGCCCCCGCGAGGTGGGCGCGCCGGCCTACGCGTCGGTGGACGGCTTCGGCCAGGCGCCCTCGGCCCGTACGCGGCCCGCG